GCCAATCGAGAACCTTTCTTCCCCATCGGTTGTCGGTTCTTCGAGCTATATGGCCGGCCCACTGCCACTTCAGCTTACTAATCCGTTGGGCTATGTCGGTTACTCTGGTTCTACTGCGGATATCCTCATTCCTAAGTTTATCACGCAGAGAAACTCCGAGCATAGCCCTCTCCATAGCTCGCTGAGCGACCTTGAGCTTCCTCATACGGCCAGCAGTGAAGGACCACGTCTCAGTTCCATAAGTCATCACTGGCAACACGCACTGGTTGTACAATTTCGTTTTCAGGTTTTGAGGTATGTCTGACGAGAAGATGTGTCGTAGCTTCCCGAACGCTGCCCAGCCGAGTTGAATCCGTCGATTGACCTCTCGGTCGAAGTTGGACTTACCTAGTCGGACTATTTGTCCAAGGTAAACATACTCGTCAACAACTTCGAGCTTAGTGCTCCCAACAACTACCGGCATAGGTGTGACATGGACATTGAACATGATCTTTGTTTTGTCCATGTTCATCTTAAGACCTATCCGTTGGGAAACACTATCGAGGTCATTGAGCATAGTGCTTAGGTCCTCCAGCGATTCTGCCATAAGGACTATATCGTCGGCAAATCGAAGGTGAGTGATGTACTCGCCATTGATGTTGATACCGTATCCTTTCCAGTCCAGAAGCTTGAAAACGTCTTCCAAAGCAGCGGTGAAGAGTTTCGGGGATATGACGTCACCCTGTCTTACACCTCTCTGCAATTGGATAGGTTTCGTACTCTGGTTCTGTACTCGGATAGCCATCGTAGCCCTACTGTACAAGCACTTCAACACTTCGATATACCGACAGTCAACTTGGCACCGCTGAAGGGACTGCAGCACCGCCCAAATTTCGACGGAATCAAAGGCTTTCTCATAGTCCACATACGCCAGACATAGTGGCAAATTGTACTCTTCGGACTTCTGTACAATTTGCCGAAGGGTATGTATGTGGTCTATGGTGCTAAAGCCCTTTCGGAAACCGGCTTGTTCGGGAGGCTGGAAGTCGTCAAGTCTGCGCGCGAGACGATTCGTAATGACTCTCGAAAACAGCACGTAGACGCGGCTCAGAAGGGAAATCGGTCTGTAGTTCTTCAAGAGAGCGTTGTCACCTTTCTTGAAGAACAAGACCACCGCACTTCTGCTCCACGCCTCCGGTGTAATGCCACCATGGAGGACGGAATTAAAGAGCTTCTGAAGGACTTCAAGTACCGGTCTTCCACCCGCTTTCAGAAGCTCCGCTGTAATTCCATCCTCGCCTGGGGCCTTACCGTTTTTAAGGTGCTGGAGAGCCATTCTAATCTCGCTCAGACTGACGTCCGGGATATCTTCGGAATAGTGTCGGATGAGACTCGCTCTTGGATCGTTACTCACACTTGCGTGTGGCTCCAACGATGACGTGTACAGCTGCCCATAGAACCTCTCAATCTCACTCAAAATCTCAGGTGTCCCGGAAACGATGCTGCCACATTCTATCTTCAGCTTTGACAGTTGGCTCTTTCTGGCAGACAGATCTCTGGCAAAGACTTTGGAGCCTTGGTTCCGCTCGATCGCTTCTTCAATACGAGCTGTATTGAAGTTGCGTAAGTCCCGCCGCATGCATTTGGAGATCTGTCTGTTCAGATGCCTGTATGCTGTCAAGTCTGTTGAAGAATGTAGCTTCATCTCCCGTCTAACAGCCATGAGATTAAGAGTGTGATCGGAGAGTTTTTGTGTTCTTCTGCGGCGGGTCTTGCAGAACTTAGCTCCGACCGCATGGACAGTTTCCACGAGCTTGTCATTCATATCGTCCACTTCATTGCAGTCTTCTAGGCACTGAAAACGGTTTTGTAACTCGAGCTGAAAGGTTTCGGGACTTTGGAACAGAGCACGAGGGGGACGGAGCGTTGACTTCATTAGACGAGACCTCTCCAACTTAACGTTTAGGTTCAGTGTGCCTCTAACCATTCGGTGATCGCTACCAGTTTTCACCCTCGCGATCACGGAGACATCACTGAACAGTTGTCGTCTGGTCGTTATAATGAAGTCAATCTCATTTTTTGTCGAACCGTCGGGGCTCGACCAGGTCCACTTCCTGTGGGGCCGCTTCTGGAAGAAAGAGTTCATCATAAAGAGTCCCTCTTTCTCCATGAAGTCGGCCAGCTGCTGGCCCCTTGGGTTCCGTTGCCCTATTCCAAATTTCCCTACTTTCAGCTCACCGTTCTCTCTTGTGCCTAGTTTTGCATTGAAATCTCCCATTAACACCGTATATTGGGTTTTGGAGGAATGCATGGCTCTAGAGATATCCTCATACATTTCCTCCACCTCCCAATCGGGGTGTGCCGAGGTTGGTGCGTAAACCTGTATGACCTTCAGCGAATACCGTTTGGTGATTCTGAGTATAAGGTACGCAACCCTCGTCGACACACTCCCGATCTTTACAACGTTGTTAACGAGAGACTTGTGGACGATAAATCCGACACCTCCTTGGGACAGATGGTCGCCCTCCCGGTGATAGAGCAAGTTGCCGGATTCGAGGATTACCGTGTCCTCCCCCTCTCTTCGGACTTCGGATAATCCTATAATATGCCAGCGCAACTTGTCTATCTCTTCTTCCAGCTCCACGATCTTCTCGTCAGTCCTCAGGGTGCGTGCGTTGTACGTTGCCAGGTCGAGTCGTCTAAGGTGGCAACCGAACCTCCACCGGAGATTCTTAGCACCCCCTGCCCCGCCGTTACCATGGTCGCCACCGTAGCCAGGAATAGCGGGGCCGCCGGGGACTGGGGGCCGTATCTTTGTTACATTCATAGGGGGGTATTTGCCATAGTTGCCACGCTTGGCGAGCGGGTTGGCAACCGCAGTTTTTTTATTGTAATTTTGGCTATTATCAGGAAGATGCTGCTGCCCATCTCCTGCCTGTTTCCCTTTGTCGCCTTTTACGACACCCACGGGAGGATATGGGGTAGTGGTATTCTTGACCGCCACTACACGGCACAACTCACTTACTATAACTACTATAAAAAACTATATCTTGTATACAGATGGCAGTAAAACTAATTCTAATGTAAAGAGCGCTGTATATTATCCACAGATAAAGTTCTGTCAGAGCTTTCTTCTCGATAATAATTGTACTATATCCACAATAGAAAATCTTATAAACGAAGATCCCGAATGAAATAAAGATATGGCTTAAAAAACAAGCGTCCAAGCCAAGTTCTTAATAAAAAAGTTATTACGTGTGTCACGAAGATATGTCATTATCAGCAAGGTGTTGCTTTGTTTTTGGAAAAAATAGTTTTAGTAGGAATTATAATTTTTTGTAACCAAATTTAGAGGTAAACATAATTCCAAAAACAAAATTTTCTGTTCCATTATAATTAGGGTCCTACGACTTAATATTTTTCAAAAATATGAGTTATATTTTATATGAATTACTTTAGAAATAGATGAACCAAACTACACCTGAACGTAGGAAAATTAAAAAAGAACAAGTGTGTTGTTCACACGCGTTAGAAGTGAAACCTTATTTATATTTTATTAATTCAAAATATAATTTATTAATTTGTTGTAATTAATTTATTATTGCTATCTTATTTTCTCGCAGACTAAATCCTATAGATGTGTATGTTTGTCTCTTTTTAGTGTCCCTTTTTCGTTTCATAGAGTTTTAAATAACAATGATTTTAAAAAAGTTAAAAATGTGTAAAAAATTAAAGATTACAGTATTGAGGCAATGGTTTGTGTATATACATACACAAGAAACCACTATATAAACACCTGTGTAAGAAATAATTTCACCTTAATCCAAATTAGTGACATAGAGCAGAGCTACAACCACTAGATCGAATATAATATTTTATAGATAATACAAACGATGTAATGTCCTACCCATGTACTACAATCATTTTATATAAATAAAGTTTATTACTATTATTATATAAATAAAAATGTTCATTGAATCAGTTTTATTTCAAAATCACCTACATCCTTAAATTTTCAAGTAACATTAAATTAAAATTAAAAATAATTTCCTTGTCCCATCTATTTCTTTGTTAGATCTTTATCTTAGTTGAGTTTCGTCTATTAGAACACTCAGGCGTAACCTCGCTAATCCGTACGTGTTAAACCTCACCGTCGTTAGATGGCGCTCACATTGATTCTGTAAATGTGTGCGTGCATCATTCAAGGCCACTTGGATTTTGTAGTCCTCTTAATGGGTAACAACTACGCGTAAGCGTGCTCCTCTGTGTGCGATTCAATTCACAACGTTTTTGCCGATCAAGCGACCTTTACAAATGCGTGAGTAGTAAAATAGTAGGCGTTAAATATTTATGAATGACAATCAGTTAAAATAATGTATTATCTCGCATTATGAATTTAAAACAAAAATAGGACAAATTGTTTGATTTATTATATTGAATAAAAATTTTCACCTTACAAAATCATAATTTAATATACCACTTGACACCTAATGCTAATGTTTAAAGTGTACTGCGATCATTAATCGGCATTCCAAGCGATTAAGGCACAAAATGTCTAAAGTTTTAAGTGTGTGTGTGCTCTAGACAGAATTTCGACAGGAACTAATGAGGCATATTCAAAGTGTGTTAAAAGTATTGAGAAAGTTAGTTGATAAAACAAAGTGTACAGATGCTGTAGATTACATATAAAAAATTATATTAAGTACTTAACTATAGCTACTTTGCCAAAAGTAAGCACTAGCTTAGTATGAATCAAAAACTAATAAGTACTAACGTAGTATGAATTCAATTATCAAATAACTGGCAACTCCGTCGCTGTCTGCCGCTGCCGCGCGTGCTAATCGCAATACGGAATCAATTTGATTGTTCGTTCGTTTCGTTTCGTTCTAAATTTTAGATGATTGAGTGACAAAAATAGTGTAGTGAAAATGACACTAGTAAATTGGTAAATACAGTAAAACCTTTAAATTTGACCAATTTTGTGTTTATTTCGTGCTAAGTGTCAGTATTAAGTGAGTATTATGAACTTTGAGGACTATGAAACCCTTCCGACCCAGAACTCTATAACACATATGACAGCTGGAGCAATCGCGGGGGTGATGGAGCATTGCATAATGTACCCGCTCGACTCCGTCAAGGTGAGTTGCGCTTAGGAGTCGTCGCCGCCGGTGGGCTCCTGCAGCTAAACTTCATATGTTAGTCTCCTAACCTAGGTGTCTTTGCCTCATTGGTTCGCGCGTTCATTACGCCACTGATTTCTTTTGGGGTTATATAAAGCCTGCGTAATATATTAGATGTCCAGACGTCAGCTGTCCTAAAAATATTGTACACTGCCCTGTAAAATTTAATTTATTTGACAAAAGCTGTCGTGAATCAAATGTGGTACTGTTTTTAGAAACACATTTTGTTAATCGTGTGTTTTAGTTTTAACCTTACTGCTCTCACTTAATACTGATACAACAACTTAGGAATGCTATTAAATTCATAGATTGATTATTATGCCTGAATTTTAGCATAAAATTTGTTGTTTTCTGCCTCTTTGGAATTTTAAAATTTCCATTTTCGATCATATTTTATCTCAACTTTTGGTTGTTTACATTTTAATTTCATCATGCTGGATCTTTACCTTCATTTGTCATTATTTCCTATTATTAATGATGACATTGCAAAACTAGGTCTAATAGATGGTTAGGTTAGGATAGTTTTACCACGCTTAGTTTTATTTACCTTTTTATTAGTACATATTAAATATTTGTAATATTTAAGTTGTAATATGTAATTAGGTAAAACAGACAACATAAAAGGCAGACCTAAAAATTTCACTGATGTTTGTTGGTTTTTTTTATGTGTTTTTACTAAAAAAATTACTTATTTTACATTGCCTGTTTTAAGTGAAGTCATTATTGTAAGTTAAATATTGCACAAATTATTTTAATATGGTGGTCAGTGGTCACTGATATTGTGCTTGGATAATGTTAATATTTGTTGTAGCGTGTATGTTATTGTGTAAGTTTGTGTGCTGTGATTATATTATCAGTTAATTGTGTTAGTATGACTGCAATGATAAAAACTTAATGAATCAAATAAATTTATTAATTAAGGTTCTCGAGTGGCAGCCTAGTACCAGTAAGGGAATTATAGGGTAGCCCCGCAAAAGATGAAGTGGTGACCTGGTAAGAGATGCAGAAAGTCTGTACATGCAGGTGGTTCAGGACTGTGCTTTATGGCCGTGGCCGAGAGTGGACTTGTGAAAGACTGTTATGATGTATCAATTTCATATTAACAAATATACTGCTTTGGTTACATATACCTAATTTGTTTTAATTAAAAAATATATATTAAATATTTCATTGAGGTTCATCAACTAAATAGTTGAAGCTACAGTAGGCTAATGGATGCGGACTGCAAATTCATTATTGTCAGTTCATGGGTTTGTATCCACTATTTAACTACTATAGTGAAGCACTCCTAACACAAACATTTTAAGCTTACCAGGAGTAGCTAAAGAGAATATTTGTAATGTTATAATAGCATTGCTAGTAGTTTAAAAAAATTGTTGATATATTGAAGGTGCGCCAAATTAAGTGTTTTAACTAATGCTACTGTTGAATATAATAATGTGCCAAGTGAAAATGTTATAATCTTATAATAACTGATGGATTGCAATATGACTGGTAGAGAATGTCATAAGGCATTAAGTCCCCCCATTGTAATTCTTAGATTAAGCTGTAACACAATAAAGATTAAATAAATAAATATGTCAATATGTTCAAAATTGTCTCAACCGTTACATCAGATTTGATATACCACAAAAAGCTTACAAAAGTAGACTGATTCCTGCCAAGGATGATTCGTAAGGCTGTTGAAATTAAAAAAATAAACATCAAATTTCTATTAAAGAGATTGGCTTGGTGCCACATTTGTTTTTGATCCTATAACTAATGAAATTAAATCCCAACCAAAGCATATCTCTGAAAGATTTAGAGATACCGTAAGTATTTGCTTTGTCAATTGGACCAAAAATTAATATTCAAAAACTAAAGGTAGCCCAGTTTAACTATGACATTGGGATGTTAAAAACTTCGGTTCCCCTGTAACCAGGACTGCTGTAAATATTATGAACCGTAGGGAATTAAAATAAGTTAATTTTTTTTTAAATTTTATATGTGGTAGAGCCATGGATCTACCATGTATAAAATTCTAAATCTATACTAGTAGTATAGTTGTAGCACGAATGGGTCGGCTCGACCGGGGAAGGACCACGCTCTCACAGAATACCACTGTAAAATAGCAGCTTACACTGCTGTATTTCGTATGGTGAGTGTAGAGAACCGGAGACCCTTTTTACTGGAAAAGAGGCATTCCATCTTAGTCCTCACGGGTGACAACGCACCTGCATTTTGATTTGCAAACTAGGATAGATGTAGGGTTACAGGAAACCACTTACCATCAAGTGGACTGTGTGCTCGTTTGTCATCCTGCTCTATAAAAAAAATTAAATGTATTAAAAATCTATTAAATTAGTTTTATTTAATGTTTTTGGCATTCATATAAGTATAAGAAATAATTATTAGAGAAACTCTTTGCACAACATGTCTTAAAATTATACAGTATGCAAGCAAATCAAATTTGATAGTTGCCTGTCCCAATAACATTGTTATATGCATATTTAAGTTCTGTTTCACCAATCTTCTTCACTATCAAACTTTATCACTAGGTTTTACTCACATACCAATTCACTGTATTAGAGAAAAATTCAAGGCGGCAAAGATTATTCAACTATATATCATAATGAAAAATGTAAGTGATACCGCGATTCACTCGGCGACAGCGTCATCTAGGGAGAACAGGAAGAACTAAATTTACTTAAAAAGTTTGGTGTTAAGTTTGTTAGCTAAACAAGGTGTCTATCTGGATAGGTGCCATCCTCTTACCAATTTCTGCTCCAAACAGCAGTGCTTGCTCCGATGTGTTCCCGTCTGAAGGGTGTAGAGAGCCAGTATACTTGCAGGCTGTGAGACATTCCACTTTAGTTCTCAGAGGTGACAATGCATCTGTCAGGTCTCTTTATTTGAAGATGGCTGCAGGTGTCTATGAACTACAGTAGTTGTATTAGTAGTAGTATCATATTCTATACATGGTAGAGCTACGCTGCAGCTATATTACTGGTATAGTTGTAGCACAGAATGGGCAGCTGGATCAGGGAAGGACCACACTCTCATAGAATACCAGTAGTAAAATAGCAGCATAATGCTGTTGTGTTTTGTATGGTGAGTGTAGAGAAATGGAGACCCCTTTTACTGGAAAGGAGGCATACTATCTTAGTCCTCATGGGTGACAACACATCTGCATTTTGATTGTACCTAACAGATGTAGATGTCTATGGGCCACACCTAACACTTCATTCACTTAACCATCAGGTGGACTGTGTGCTCGTTTGTCACCATTATCCTATATAAAAAGTCATTTAGCATCATGTGAACTGTATGTTTGTTTGTCACTACAATTTTATAAAAAAACGTATTTACCAGAGAAGGAAATATTGGAAACCTGCATAGAGGCATCATAGTAGGCTCTTCTTACCCTTAACCCCTATGAAGTGAGAAGATGCCTTGCACAGCTGTTAGAAATAGGTACTTGTTGTTACTTTGCTTTCAAAATACATGTAGTAGATAATGTTAACATTTTACACATCTTTACTTTCATCATCATCATTATAGGTCTTCACAAGTCTACTGCTGAACATATACCTCCACAAAACGAATTACATAAAGCATTGTCATTACCCACCTGTATTTATTGACTTCCTGTATCTCTTAATTTAACCTTCTTAATAATTAACGAGTTTCACTCATGAATTTACTTTGGCTATATAAGGAGCCAAAGTAAATTCAATCAAATTGGACTTACCTAGTCGGAGCCAATAGTCCGACTAGGTAAGTCCAACTTCGACCGAGAGGTCAATCGACGGATTCAACTCGGCTGGGCAGCGTTCGGGAAGCTACGACACATCTTCTCGTCAGACATACCTCAAAACCTGAAAACGAAATTGTACAACCAGTGCGTGTTGCCAGTAATGACTTATGGAACTGAGACGTGGTCCTTCACTGCTGGCCGTATGAGGAAGCTCAAGGTCGCTCAGCGGGCTATGGAGAGGGCTATGCTCGGAGTTTCTCTGCGTGATAAACTTAGGAATGAGGATATCCGCAGTAGAACCAGAGTAACCGACATAGCCCAACGGATTAGTAAGCTGAAGTGGCAGTGGGCCGGCCATATAGCTCGAAGAACCGACAACCGATGGGGAAGAAAGGTTCTCGAGTGGCAGCCTCGTACCGGTAGGCGAAGTGTAGGGCGTCCCCCCACGAGATGGAGTGACGACCTGGTAAGACATGCAGGAAGTCGATGGATGCAGGTGGCTCAGGACCGTGCTTTGTGGCATTCTTTGGGGGAGTCCTATGTTCAGCAGTGGACTTGTGAAGGGCTGTAATGATGAATGATGATATAGGGAGCCAAGGTAGGTCAGAGGTTAAGCACTCGCTGAAAATTTCATAGTACGTGGCCCACTCTTGTTGGATACCTGCCACCATTAATAATTTTTCCAAAAAGAGTTTCCGGAACGTTGTGACTTAAAAACCTTCAAAAAAGAACCTTATTTTTTAGCCAGTTACACATCTGCAAAACTCCTGGTGTTGCAGTTGATCATGGGTGGCCGTAGTCACTTACCATGAAGTGAGTCGGATGCTTGTTTGCCCCCTCTTTTATAATTTATTTTTTATTTTTAATTAAAACAATTGTATTTTATTGTGCTAATTTATCACATGCTGGCTGTAAAGAATAACATTGAGTTGTAATAAGTTGTAATAAGAGTAAAATAAATGTTGTAATAGGAGTAGGGCAAGGAAATACTCTAATAAAAATACACACTCTGTGTGGTGGACATTTCCTTGCCCTACAAAACTTAGAGGAGGCTGGTGCCGAGCTGTGGGACATATATAGGCTGTAATTTTTTTTTACTTCATAATGCAGAATGAGCACTTTAAAAAGCAGTACCTTCCAGTCTTGCAGTTGTACATGTATGGTTTGGATGTAGTTTTATTTACAAATGCACTGTGTAGTGGTATAAGAAAATCCATTACACTGTACTATCCTATGCTAAAAGTCGATTGAGGATTTTTAATAGGAGATGGGCAGCAGGATCTTCCTGATCCACCAGCATAACACAAAATTGTAAAAATTGCTGTAGCCAGGCCACTTGTCAATTTTAGCAACTATGGCAAATATCCTCCCTATGAGGCAATACATGTGTTATATAATCATTACTGATTGTGTTGGATTAGGATTGACTTAGGATTTTTTTAAATTTCCTTACAATATATTTAACCGAACCAGAATTTTAAAGATTTTAATATTAATTTTATTAATATTTATATAGTAAGTAGTAAATACAGGTAGATGTTCTTACAATGAATTAATTAAATTTACTCAATTGTAGTAAGTGCATCTCACTGATATAGAATTGTTTTGTAATTTTTCTTCCTAGCTACTGATACATCTCAGTAACTATATTAGAAAGTAATCAGCCTTATTGGCTTTCTGCCAGCACACTTGCGTTAAATATGCGTTGTCGCAGAAGTCTGCACCGTGCACAGTGCCGCAAGCTCGTATAGAAGCCTCGCTCTCGCGCAAATCACCGGGCAGCATCGCGATGACCGCTTCCACGTCCATCTCGCCCTCTGACATCATTCCCGCTGTCTCCATCACACACTTGATATAGCACTTCAGCTTCGGATCCGGCATTAAGTCTGCTCCCGCGTTTATCTTCTCCACCAGTCCAAGGTCAACTCCCGTCTCTTCCCCACAGTTCTCTCTTAACATTCGCGCCAGCTCTGCCATTTCGTCGTCCAAACCGAATGCTCCTACAAATATTGTAACGAGTATGATGCCTATAAATCTTCCCTCCATTTTGATGTGTGTTGCTACTTGTGGATTAACGATTTTATACAAATATGGAGCTTTATATATGGGTGGACTCAATGTCACTACAGTCCGCTGATCGCATTCGTTTGGCTGGATTGATTATTAAATTGTAGACTCGGTACTGTTATTAAAATGTGTGTTTGTATGGTGCTTGTTTGCCATTTTTCTATTTTTTTCAGCCGAATCATTTGATTAAATTATATAGCAGCTTAACAGCGGATGGCAAATAGATGTTTTCAAAATTACAGACATCGGTTAGTGGTTAGCTGTGAAAATAAGATTTCAGTCAAATATAACATTATATGTATATAGTCATATCAATCATCATTATCATCATCAGAACGTGGACTTTTTTTATGGAATCAGGGTGACAAACGAACACAGACCTACACTTATCCTCGATTAAGAATCAAAATGCAGATACGTTGTCATCCCTAAGGATTAAGATGGAATGCCTACTTTCCAGTAAAACGGGTCTCCGGATCTTTACACTCACCATACGAAACACAGCTGCATTTAGCTTCTATTTTACGGTAGGTTTGTGTGAAAGTGTGGCCCTACCCCGGTACAGCGGATCCATTCGTGCTACAACCATAATATAGCTGCAGCGTGGCTGTGCGCATAAAATTCCCATTCGTGCGTTACGTAGACACCACGACGAGGAATAGTTTAGGTATTTAAAGAGAAAGTAATCATTAGGACATGGTCATTAATTTCCTAACCGTATTGGTGGGGTAAGAATATCCACTACCTCATATCGTCCCGTGGGTGTCGTAAAAGGCGACAAAGGAAAACTGAAATAGGGAATGGGCAGCAGAATCTTCCTGACAACAACTCAAAATTATAAAAACTGTGGTTGTAAACAATAAAAATATAATATAACAAAAATATATAAATATCTCATAGAATGAATACCAGCGTAAAATAGCAGCTTTTAATGTTGATGTGTTTCATATGGTGAGTGTAAAAACCGGAGATCCTTTTCACTGGCAGCGTTGACCTTCTAATTTACACTGGTATTCTGTGAGAGCGTGGTCCTTCGGTTATAGCATGAAGCACGACCCCCTCCCGGTCGCGCCGACCCACTCGTACTATAACCATAATATAGCTGCAACATGGCCTTACCACGTACTAAACTGACAGGATTTGCCGTTACACTTGGCAGACGCATTGAACATCGCAGTACCAGACGTGAGCACCTTTGGCGCTGCTTCCAGTTGCTGGATTTGGTATTATCGGATCTTACGGATCTTAAGGATCTTAACTAATTATCTAATCTTAGATAGCTAATTATCTAATTTTATAGGATAAGGGTGACAAACGAGCACACAGTCCACCTGATGGTAAGTGGTTGCTGCGGCTCATAGACATCTACATCAATCTTCGTTTGCGAATCAAAATGCAGATGCGTTGTCACCATCCGTTGGGAGACACTATTGAGGTCATTGACCATAGTGCTTAGGTCCTCCAGCGATTCTGCCATAAGAACTATCGTCGTCGGCAAATCGAAGGTGAGTGATGTACTCGCCATTGACGTTAATACCGTATCCTTTCCAGTCCAGCTTGAAAACGTCTTCCAATGCAGTGGTGAAGAGTTTCGGGGATATTACGTCACCCTGTCTTACATCTCTCTGCAGTTGGATAGGTTTCGTACTCTGGTTCTGTACTCAGATCACGTTCATAGCTGTATGAAATAAGATCCTTTTGCCGTTCCAAAATGGAAATATATTAAAAATACATTTGTGCTTTTCACACGCGTCAGAAGTGAAACGTTCAGAAAACGAAACTTTGAGAGAATGAGACGAATGCAGAGTATTAGCATTAGGATAAATTGTAGGGTTTATTTGTATTATTATTGTTACCAAGTTTAAAAATTATTTTACATTTTATTCTACATAATTTTTATATTAGTATATTATATTATACAGACGCCATGTTTTCAATTTCATCATAGTAGGAACTTAAATATTTTCTGATCAAGAAATTTCGTCCTTAATCATTACTGCTCACACATCATATGCATAATTTCCATACATAATAGGAAATACTGTATACTGATTATCACGTTCTCTCGCAGACTGATCTTAAGCGTAAATCTAATAACTATCTCAAGCGTAAATCTAATAAGTATCTCAAGCGTAAATCTAATAACTATCTCAAGCGTAAATCTAATAAGTATCTCAAGCGTAAATCTAATAACTATCTCAAGCGTAAATCTAATAAGTATCTCAAGCGTAAATCTAATAACTATCTCAAGCGTAAATCTAATAAGTATCTCAAGCGTAAATCTAATAACTATCTCAAGCGTAAATCTAATAAGTATCTTAAGCGTAAATCTAATAACTATCTCAAGCGTAAATCTAATAAGTATCTCAAGCGTAAATCTAATAACTATCTCAAGCGTAAATCTAATAAGTATCTCAAGCGTAAATCTAATAACTATCTCAAGCGTAAATCTAATAAGTATCTTAAGCGTAAATCTAATAACTATCTCAAGCGTAAATCTAATAAGTATCTTAAGCGTAAATCTAATAACTATCTCAAGCGTGAATCTAATAACTATCTCAAGCGTAAATCTAATAACTATCTCAAGCGTGAATCTAATAAGTATCTTAAGCGTAAATCTAATAACTATCTCAAGCGTGAATCTAATAAGTATCTTAAGCGTAAATCTAATAACTATCTCAAGCGTGAAATAAGTATCTTAAGCGTAAATCTAATAACTATCTCAAGCGTGAATCTAATAAGTATCTTAAGCGTAAATCTAATAACTATCTCAAGCGTAAATCTAATAAGTATCTCAAGCGTAAATCTAATAACTATCTCAAGCGTAAATCTAATAAGTATCTTAAGCGTAAATCTAATAACTATCTCAAGCGTAAATCTAATAAGTATCTTAAGCGTAAATCTAATAACTATCTCAAGCGTGAATCTAATAAGTATCTTAAGCGTAAATCTAATAACTATCTCAAGCGTGAAATAAGTATCTTAAGCGTAAATCTAATAACTATCTCAAGCGTGAATCTAATAAGTATCTTAAGCGTAAATCTAATAACTATCTCAAGCGTGAATCTAATAAGTATCTTAAGCGTAAATCTAATAACTATCTCAAGCGTGAAATAAGTATCTTAAGCGTAAATCTAATAACTATCTCAAGCGTGAATCTAATAAGTATCTCAAGCGTAAATCTAATAACTATCTCAAGCGTAAATCTAATAAGTATCTTAAGCGTAAATCTAATAACTATCTCAAGCGTGAATCTAATAAGTATCTTAAGCGTAAATCTAATAACTATCTCAAGCGTGAATCTAATAACTATCTCAAGCGTAAATCTAATAACTATCTCAAGCGTGAATCTAATAAGTATCTTAAGCGTAAATCTAATAACTATCTCAAGCGTGAATCTAATAAGTATCTTAAGCGTAAATCTAATAACTATCTCAAGCGTGAAATAAGTATCTTAAGCGTAAATCTAATAACTATCTCAAGCGTGAATCTAATAAGTATCTTAAGCGTAAATCTAATAACTATCTCAAGCGTAAATCTAATAAGTATCTCAAGCGTAAATCTAATAACTATCTCAAGCGTAAATCTAATAAGTATCTTAAGCGTAAATCTAATAACTATCTCAAGCGTAAATCTAATAAGTATCTTAAGCGTAAATCTAATAACTATCTCAAGCGTGAATCTAATAAGTATCTTAAGCGTAAATCTAATAACTATCTCAAGCGTGAAATAAGTATCTTAAGCGTAAATCTAATAACTATCTCAAGCGTGAATCTAATAAGTATCTTAAGCGTAAATCTAATAACTATCTCAAGCGTGAATCTAATAAGTATCTTAAGCGTAAATCTAATAACTATCTCAAGCGTGAAATAAGTATCTTAAGCGTAAATCTAATAACTATCTCAAGCGTGAATCTAATAAGTATCTCAAGCGTAAATCTAATAACTATCTCAAGCGTAAATCTAATAAGTATCTTAAGCGTAAATCTAATAACTATCTCAAGCGTGAATCTAATAAGTATCTTAAGCGTAAATCTAATAACTATCTCAAGCGTGAAATAAGTATCTTAAGCGTAAATCTAATAACTATCTCAAGCGTGAATCTAATAAGTATCTTAAGCGTAAATCTAATAACTATCTCAAGCGTGAATCTAATAAGTATCTTAAGCGTAAATCTAATAACTATCTCAAGCGTGAATCTAATAAGTATCTTAAGCGTAAATCTAATAACTATCTCAAGCGAGAATCTAATAAGTATCTTAAGCGTAAATCTAATAACTATCTCAAGCGTGAATCTAATAAGTATCTTAAGCGTAAATCTAATAACTATCTCAAGCGTGAATCTAATAAGTATCTTAAGCGTAAATCTAATAACTATCTCAAGCGTGAATCTAATAAGTATCTTAGCGTAAATCTAATAACTATCTCAAGCGTGAATCTAATAAGTATCTTAAGCGTAAATCTAATAACTATCTCAAGCGAGAATCTAATAAGTATCTTAAGCGTAAATCTAATAACTATCTCAAGCGTGAATCTAATAAGTATCTTAAGCGTAAATCTAATAACTATCTCAAGCGTGAAATAAGTATCTTAAGCGTAAATCTAATAACTATCTCAAGCGTGAATCTAATAAGTATCTTAAGCGTAAATCTAATAACTATCTCAAGCGTGAATCTAATAACTATCTCAAGCGTAAATTTAATAACTATCTCAAGCGTGAATCTAATAAGTATCTTAAGCGTAAATCTAATAACTATCTCAAGCGTGAATCTAATAAGTATCTTAAGCGTAAATCTAATAACTATCTCAAGCGTGAATCTAATAACTATCTCAAGCGTAAATCTAATAACTATCTCAAGCGTGAATCTAATAAGTATCTCAAGCGTAAATCTAATAACTATCTCAAGCGTGAATCTAATAAGTATCTTAAGCGTAAATCTAATAACTATCTCAAGCGAGAATCTAATAAGTATCTCAAGCGTAAATCTAATAACTATCTCAAGCGTGAATCTAATAAGTATCTCAAGCGTAAATCTAATAACTATCTCAAGCGTGAATCTAATAAGTATCTTAAGCGTAAATCTAATAACTATCTCAAGCGTGAATCTAATAACTATCTCAAGCGTAAATCTAATAACTATCTCAAGCGTGAATCTAATAAGTATCTCAAGCGTAAATCTAATAACTATCTCAAGCGTAAATCTAATTACTATCTCAAGCGTGAATCTAATAAGTATCTCAAGCGTAAATCTAATAACTATCTCAAGCGTGAATCTAATACTCGTAAGTATCTTAAGCGTAAATCTAATAACTATCTCAAGCGTGAATCTAATAAGTATCTCAAGCGTAAATCTAATAACTATCTCAAGCGTGAATCTAATACTCGTAAGTATCTTAAGCGTAAATCTAATAACTATCTCAAGCGTGAATCTAATAAGTATCTTAAGCGTAAATCTAATAACTATCTCAAGCGTGAATCTAATAAGTATCTTAAGCGTAAATCTAATAACTATCTCAAGCGTGAATCTAATAAGTATCTTAAGCGTAAATCTAATAACTATCTCAAGCGAGAATCTAATAAGTATCTTAAGCGTAAATCTAATAACTATCTCAAGCGTGAATCTAATAAGTATCTTAAGCGTAAATCTAATAACTATCTCAAGCGTGAAATAAGTATCTTAAGCGTAAATCTAATAACTATCTCAAGCGTGAATCTAATAAGTATCTTAAGCGTAAATCTAATAACTATCTCAAGCGTGAATCTAATAAGTATCTTAAGCGTAAATCTAATATCTATCTCAAGCGTGAATCTAATAAGTATCTTAAGCGTAAATCTAATAACTATCTCAAGCGTGAATCTAAGTATTTTAAGCGTGAATCTAATACTCGTAAGTATCTTAAGCGTAAATCTAATAACTATCTCAAGCGAGAATCTAATAACTATCTCAAGCGTAAATTTAATAACTATCTCAAGCGTGAATCTAATAAGTATCTTAAGCGTAAATCTAATAACTATCTCAAGCGTGAATCTAATAACTATCTCAAGCGTAAATTTAATAACTATCTCAAGCGTGAATCTAATAAGTATCTTAAGCGTAAATCTAATAACTATCTCAAGCGTGAATCTAATAAGTATCTTAAGCGTAAATCTAATAACTATCTCAAGCGTGAATCTAATAAGTATCTCAAGCGTAAATCTAATAACTATCTCAAGCGTGAATCTAATAAGTATCTCAAGCGTAAATCTAATAACTATCTCAAGCGTGAATCTAATAAGTATCTCAAGCGTAAATCTAATAACTATCTCAAGCGTGAATCTAATAAGTATCTTAAGCGTAAATCTAATAACTATCTCAAGCGTGAATCTAATAACTATCTCAAGCGTAAATCTAATAACTATCTCAAGCGTGAATCTAATAAGTATCTCAAGCGTAAATCTAATAACTATCTCAAGCGTAAATCTAATTACTATCTCAAGCGTGAATCTAATAAGTATCTCAAGCGTAAATCTAATAACTATCTCAAGCGTGAATCTAATACTCGTAAGTATCTTAAGCGTAAATCTAATAACTATCTCAAGCGTGAATCTAATAAGTATCTCAAGCGTAAATCTAATAACTATCTCAAGCGTGAATCTAATACTCGTAAGTATCTTAAGCGTAAATCTAATAACTATCTCAAGCGTGAATCTAATAAGTATCTTAAGCGTAAATCTAATAACTATCTCAAGCGTGAATCTAATACTCGTAAGTATCTTAAGCGTAAATCTAATAACTATCTCAAGCGTGAATCTAATAAGTATCTTAAGCGTAAATCTAATAACTATCTCAAGCGTGAATCTAATAAGTATCTTAAGCGTAAATCTAATAACTATCTCAAGCGTGAATCTAATAAGTATCTTAAGCGTAAATCTAATAACTATCTCAAGCGTGAATCTAATAACTATCTCAAGCGTAAATCTAATAACTATCTCAAGCGTGAATCTAATAAGTATCTTAAGCGTAAATCTAATAACTATCTCAAGTGTGATATGTCTGTTACAGACGCGGATGCAGTCGTTGCGCTCCGCTCACAACGGCAGCATCGCCGAGACCCTACGGTACATGGTCCAGCGAGAAGGCCTCCTAAGGTAACATTAACTATTATATTGAATAGGTAGTGTCATTAAAAGCGAGGAACGACCACTAGCTCCCAGCGATGATCAAGGCTTGTCTGATGCGAGAGTTCATAGAACATTGTAGTCGCCTGCTCAGAGCAGTTGTTGCAGGAGGCGGGGGTGGGAGAGTTCGGCAGATACTCAATCCGCAGGTGGTGAAATGGGTACCGCAAGCGAGCTTATCACACGCTTCTCGAACTCGCATAATAATGTCCTCCAGACCGAATTTCGGTCACAGCGGCCAGTCTCAACGGAGACCACAGGATTATAGTGCCGAAGGTGCTACAGGTGCACTCTCTATTACCTCACTCTCATAGTCCGCTGAAACGATAATCCTATACGGCCGAAGAGGGATTAGGCGCCGGACCAACGGCTTTACGTGCTTTCCGATGCACGGTGATGAAAACACTGCTAACCTCCTGACTCCGGGCTGCTCCTGAGAATAACTTAACATAAAAAATCAAGTAACTGATTTTGGTCCGACCCGGGATCCGAACCTAAGACCTCATGATCAGCATCGCGTTTACGACCACTAGACCGTGACAGTTCAACTCCCATAAGACCTAAGCAGAGGAAGTGGTGGTGATCAATCGCCTAACGAAGCGTAGCGTGTTAATAAAAAAAAAAACTACCGATTTCAGAATTTCCTCCTTTTTTGAAGTCGGTTAAAAATAAAATATATAAATAAATTTTTTGTGACATTACATCTGGTTTTGAATTGAACTGTGTTATTTATGACTGAGGAAAAAAACTACACAGTCATCTTGTTATAGCGTGGACGATAACCGGATGTGGCGTACCGTGATTGGCAGAAACTTAACAGTTCTGTGTCACCATTGTCTATAATTTGTTTTGTATCTTTGTCGTGTAGTCTGCACAGAAAACTGATACGAGTGACGAATGTTATCAATCTGAATTAACGCAGTGAAAACTAAACAGAAACCTAGTGATTTCTTATATTTACGCGAATCCTACACATGTACGGACCGTATACTTGACTATGTAGTGGCGGTGTAAGAATATCCACTACCCCATATTGTCCCGTGGGTGTCGTAAGAGGTGACAGAGGGAAATTGAAACAGGTGATGGGCAGCAGCATCTTCCTGACAACAACTTAAAACAATAAAAAAACTGCTGATGACAATCCGTACGTCAAGCGTGTCAACTATGGCAAAATCCCTATGTAATCTATGTGGTAGGCGTATGTTCAGCAGTGGACTTTAATAGGCTGTAATGGATGGATGTGTAGAAGATAATCTACCAGGAGCACATGACCCACTGAGAGGTGAAATTATTAAATCAACAGTAACATTACAACTATGACAAAATATCCTCTATGAGGCAATCTATGGGGGAGGTCTGTGTTCAGCAGTGGACTTTAATAGGCTGTAATGGATGGATGTGTAGAAGATAATCTACCAGGAGCACATGACCCACTGAGAGGTGAAATTATTAAATCAACAGTAACATTACAACTATGACAAAATATCCTCTATGAGGCAATCTATGGGGGAGGTCTGTGTTCAGCAGTGGACTTTAGTAAGCTGTAATGGGTGGACGCATGTAAATAAAACTAATTTTATTGATTTTGTCGCGTTCAATTTAAACTTATTTAATTGCCGACGTCACGCGGGGAGTGGGGGCGACTAAGTTGCCGGCAACTTCGGAAATTTAAAAAGCTAAAATAGCGGTGAAATCCGTAAAATTTGTTTCACTCCATAAAAAGAAACCCTAGTGATTATGATTTAGGGAACGGAATGCAATACTGAATGGCCTACATCTCACTTCTCAGAGGTGAAATCGCATCTTGAAGTCTTCTATGCTTGAAGTTACGATTTGACTTAGGAACCGCCAAAAATGAGCTTACTCCTTTTTAAAAGGCCGGAACGCACCTGCTATTCCCCTGGTAAGCGTATGCTTATTTGCTCCCTCTTCTATATAAAAAAAAAGGTGTTTGCAGGTGTCTAATGTATGGTAATGAAGACTGTAAGATGGTTTGTTACTTTTTTTATAGGATAGGGTGACAAACGAGCACACATTCCACCTGATGGTAAGTGGTTGCTGTGACCCATAGACATCTACATTTATCCTCAATAAAGAATCAAAATGCGGATACGTTGTTACCCGTGAGGGTTAAGATAGAATGCCTCTTTTCCTGTAAAAAGGGACTCCGGTTCTCTATACTCACCATACGAAACACGCCAGTGTTAAGCTGCAATTTTACGTTGGTATTCTGTTAGAGCGTGCCCGGTTGAGCCGGCTCATTCGTGTTACAACTATACCACTAATATAGTTGCAGCATGGCTCTACCACGTATAAAAACTTTAACTTTTCAATAATTTAACGGCGATATTTTTCTAAAGTTACTCGTAGATTAAAGTTTAGCTAGTTCTGTCGGGTAGTGCACTGCATACTTATAACGTACCTGCTCTTATCAGAAGTTATCTTCTTATCGATGTACGTGATGCTGCAAGAGTCGCGTCGCGGCTCCAGCGATACGGCGCTGCCTTGACTTTTTAAAGTGTAAATAAATTATTTATTTTTGTATTTTATAGAATAACTTTGACAAACGAGCACACAGTCCATCTGATTGTAAGTGGATGTTTGTGGGCTAAAGACATCAACATCTATCTTCCATTAAGAATCAATATGCAGACGCATTGTTACCCCCGAGGACTAAGATGGTAATCGTATTTCCCACATCCTGTAGTATGGGTCTCCGGTTCTCTAGACTCAACATACGAAACACAGTAGCGTTAAGCTGCTATTTTACGCTGGTACTCTGTGAGAAGGACCAAGCGTCCTTCCCCGATCGAGAGCCATTCGTCCTACCACCATAACATGGCTTCAGCGTGGCTCTACGTATATTGGCGGCCTCGTCAGCGCGTTATCGCGACGTGTTGGACCCGGCTACTCCAGGTCATCGTGTTATCAGTACATGCGGTGGCCAAATTTTTAGCCTTATCACTTTTGAAGTAATTTTTGTTTTGTACGAGGAACCGTATCGCCTATGCAATGCTGAACTTTCCTATATATCGCTCTGTTTTCGCATGCTTCAAGTCACGTTTCGCGGCTGCAATGTTGTTTATTTTTTTTGATCTTTTTTTTTGCAATGCAATGGTGATAAAGAAAAAGCAAGAAAAGTCTATGTTAAGTATGTTGGATCTTAACAAGTTCGTTGATATTTTCCAAGCTTAAATTTATAAAAAAATTAAAATCCCGTGAAACAAAAAGAGCTGATGATGTTCAAACGGCTGAATAGATTTTTGAAACACAGCTAAGAACACTCTTCATTAAGACACCTTTCAAACGAGAGAAATTTAATCAAAATTGCTTCATCTGTTTAGGAGTTATGATGCCACAGACAGACAGACAGATACACACTATAAACTTATAAATCTCTGGCCCTCTGTTTTCGTTGGGGGTTAAATATATACAAATGGAATTATAGTTTTCTATAAAACTCATTGTAATTATTTATCTATTATTTACTATCACGTATTTTTTACAGATTTTAGAGATTTATTATATACTAGCTGTTCCCCACGACTTCGCTCGCGTGTTAGGGTTTTTATTTTTTGCACGGATCCCCGATTCTTTTTCTAAAATAAAAATAGCCTAAGTTACTCCTGACGTCAGCTATCTGCCAGTAAAAGTCCCGTCAAAATCGGTCTAGCCGTTTCGGAGATTAGCCGGAACAAACAGACTGACAAATAAAAATTAAAAAAAAATGTATTTTAGTTATAAGTACCGTATTTACTTTCATATGCATTTAGTAAAAAGCTATAATTTTGATATTACAAACAGACACATCAATTTTATTTATTTGTATAGATATAGATTTCTTGAAGTGGTAGAGCCACGCCGCTGCTATGTTGTGGTTATATACACAAATGGGGTGGTTCGTTCGGAGAAGTACCCACGCTCTCTTAGAATACCAGTGTACAATAGCGGCTTAATGCTGCTATGGTTCGTATGGTGAGTGTAGAGAACCGGAGACCCTTTTTACTCGATGTGAGGTATTTCACATTAGTCGTCAGAGGTGATAACGCATCTACATATTGATTCTTAACGGAGGAGAGACTGGGTCGCGGCATCCACTTACCATCAGGTGGACAGTGTGCTCGTTTGTCATACTTACAATGACCACAAATTTTTTTTATTTTTTATTAGCTTAACATTAAAAGTGGATTTTCTATGCTGTAGTAATCGTGAATGTTTGGTGTGATGATACTTTAACCTTATCAAAGACACTGATAATCGTTCGATTTCCGTAACAATTTCTTTTTGTTGTATACGTTGTGTATGATCTATATTAGAAGGGTTAGAATCGCAAAGCTGCCTGTCTATTGATCGTGAATTATCTTCGCGTACTATAACTGTATCAGTGCCTTATCTAATCTCGCGATACGTGAGCACGGTGTTTTATATGAACCACCTTACCTTTATCAACTGCCTTACTCAACAGTTTAACAACTGGTAAAATTATAAATTTTGTACAAATGACTTCAATATAAATAAAACGAGAACATCGTCAATGTAGTTGAAGTCAATTAAATACACATTATTAAGGATTACTCAAAATCTACTGGTCAGATCTTGATCAAATTATAATTTATGATATATACGGCACCACATAAGAAGTACCAACTTACAAATAAAAAAAAAATCATTGAAATCAGTTTACCCAGTAAAAAGTTATAGAGGTAACACACATAAAAAAACATATACTTAGTCGAACTGAGTACCTCCTCCTTTTTTTGAAGTCTGTTGAAAAAACAGAAAACGTTGCTAATGACTAGATTTTCTTTTGTATTTGTACTAGCGATTGCCGGCGACTTCGTTCGCGTTATATACTTTAGAATTTATACTAATGTATTTCGCAATAATCAGAAAACCCAAGTAAAACCGAGGCTGTCGTTTTTGAAAACACTTTCTTGGAGACATAGTTTTCATTACATTACTTGAGTAAT